CGCTCCCACGGCCCGGCTCCCACGGCCCCGGGCTCACCCAGCCATCCAGGCTGCTGGGGGGCCGGGATGTGCCCGGCGTCCAGGGCGGGGAGGTGGGTAGGCTCTCCCGGCGGTCCTGGGGAGAGAGCAGAGAGGGTGGGGGCAGGCGTTAGTGCTGGGCTCCTCTGTACTGGGCTTTCAGAAGGGACCTACTCTGTTGTGTCCATTGTGCAGAATCGAGAAGCCAGCGACCACAGTCAGGTAGTGCCTGCAGTGAAACGCAGGTGCTCCAACTCTCAGCCCAGATGCTGGGAAGAGCCCACGCTGCCTGTCCCTGTGCTTCACGGGGAGGGGTTGACTAGCGATTAAGAACGCTCGCTTTGGAGATAAACCACTTTGCTTACTAAATGAACTCGGGCAAGTTGCTTCAGCTACAGAAGCAACTCAAAGCCCCTGGGCTTTAGTTTCCTCCTCTGTGAAATGGGAGTATAGCATCAGCACATACCCTACAGGACTGTTGTGAGGAGTAAATGAGATAACTCATGTAAAGCAGTATCACTGTATCAGAAAATTCCCTGGAAGAGAGTAAGGTGCAACAGATGTTAGTTATGGTAAAGGCATACTGGAAGGATACATGTGCAACCAACCAGAGTGGTTCCCTATTAGGAAACTGGGTGAACAGGGCAGGGTACACAGCCACAGGGGTAGGAATAAAGCTGTTAAGGTATTACTTTTTAAATAAGTTTAAGGTTTTGAACTATATGGCTATATTATCTATTCAAAAAATTAAAACCAAAAATACTGGTCATTATTACTAAGGTTGGACTTGAGGAAAGGCCCTCTCAGTCCCAGTCCCCTGCTGGGTTGCCATGGTCACCTCCTAATTGTTCCTTGGATACCTTGAACAGGGAGGAAGTTCCCACTGACAGATGGAAACATAAAGGGATGCTGGGTGGTTCCTCCCTAGGCAGCACAACCCCCTCAGTGGACTTCTTGCCAGCATGAGGTGAGGAGTGTGGACTGGGTGAGGCCAAGCTGGTGAACTTTGAGGTTATAAAGCACTGCTCTGCTATACACTACCTTTCCTGCGTCCTACCTCCTTAGGGACTTTCCAGCCTACAAAGTTCATTCTCATCCTTACTCTCTCACTAGCTCCTCACAGCAACCTGGTGAGGTAGCCTGCATTCTCACACTCATTTTACAATGATGAAAATGAAGTTCAGAGGTGTAAATAACTATCCGGTGCGTTCTGCCCCACCGGGATATGTGTGTTTGTGTGAGAGAGACTATCTGCTGCTCATAGGCAGGGACACCAGGCTTAAACAGCTTGACTGGCTTGAAAGTACAAGGCTTGGAGATCCATGCCCAGCATGTATCTGCTAAACCATCCAGTTGTTCAGCCAATCAGATTCCAGCAATAAGCCGGTTCACTCAGTCTTCAATCCAAATTCACCAGCAGTCATCCCTCAGAGTCCATTCAGTGTCTCCTACCCAATCAAAATCTAGAACCATTCATAAGCTCCATTCTCTCATCCAATCAGTAACCAGCCACAGCCAAGCCAGTTGTCCAATCAGAATCGTCTCATCCAATCAGACTCTAATTTCTCCCAATCAAAAAGAAGCAACAAAATATGTCTTCTCCAAACAATGCAGCAGCTATTAGATGATAACAGACTCAGAAACAGAGCCCTTTAACCTAAAGAGGAATGTGGTGTGAATGTGTGAACAGGAGATTTTTCACGAGATGGTAATGTTAGGGATCTCCTGGGGACATCCAAGGCCCCAATCATCAAGTAGGAAAGTTAAAGCTCAGCATGGGCTCTACCCTCCTTTACACCCAGGGTCAGAGTTGTCATACATGAGCCAGAGACACTGGGAGCTGCTGTCCCTGAGACACCTCAGGGATCTTTCAGTCAGTGTGTCTGTGGGAAGTGGAGCCAAGAGTTTATGATCCAAGCCCATCAGCGAGCACTGAGGCAGAGGAACCAGGGCTTTCAGTCAGGGGAAGAGCAGACTGGGGCAGGAGGAGCTATGATAACTGTCTGAAATCTCTAAAGGCTGTCTCTGCCTTTAGTAGCCACAAGGGGAAGGGTAGGCCAGCAAGTGGAAGGAATTAACTTCTCAGAACCCTAGGCTGGAATGGTGGGGGCAGTGGCGAGGCGAGCAGCTCCTCATCCTTTGGAGCTGGGCCAGGGGGG